TCCACATTTTACGGAATATAACTGTCCCGACGCATGCCTGAATTAAAGGGATTTTTGGAAGTCCAATGCACATATCAAAAACTTATGACTTGTGTTTTTTTTATATTGATAGAAAGACGATGCTAAATAGATATTTTAAAACTCATTGATGTACCTAAAGCGGTTTTGATTTTATGGGGCTAGTCCACGAATTTTTTCATACCCCCTCGTACATTAATTTGCATGAATTTATATATATAGATTATTTAATACACAGGCAAAAGTGGCTCGCATGAACTTCATATGAAATTCGCATGAATATCGTGCGAATTCTTCGCATGAAAAAGAGACGAAAAGGACCACACATGATATTCGCATGAAAATATCATGCGATTTTGACATGAAATTCGCACGAATATCATGCGAATAAAAATTCGCACAAAATTCATATGAATATTTTTGCTGCTTTCTTTGCAGATTTTCATATGAATTTCATGCGAATTTCATGTAAATATCATGATATATTCATATCAAATCCATGTGATGTAATTTATGTATTTTTCTAGTATATTGGACTTTCAATTCTTTTAATCCATTTGATTAAAAGTATTAGAAAATTCTAATACTTAGATCTGTATATGAATTTGTACAACTAATCATCAACGTTTCACTGTTACTGTATTAAAAAAAAAGCAATAAGTACAATCTCAAAATCTGATCCAGCAAATGACTTACTGAGCTTTATCTAAATCTTAATTTGAAACAGCTTAATTTTAACACATGCAGATTTTGAGGAAGCACCACTATGATTATCCAAGTTATTCTTTTGATGAACAAACAACTGGACACATTTTGTTTCTTAATCTTCTTTATTGAATGCTTCAATTCTTTTTAACATTCTCTGCTCAAGGGCCACCCATCTGTCTGGAGATTGTTTCATCTGCAAGAGAAAATAAGGGTAATGAATACTGGGTACCGGTAAATGAAATACAATCATGAATTTTACAACTGCATTTCCAAATTCAATATTTCCCTACTTATCAAGATAACATAAAATATGAACAAAAGTAGATATAGCAATCACTTAAACCCCTAAGTTCAATTTGGTAAAAGGTTGAATTTATATTGCCTACATTGTAAATGATCTTTAAAAAATTAAAAAAAACATTCATCATAAATTATAATAATTTCAAAATCATACATCATGAAACATAATAAAAAGTTTAATTATAATGTTTCTTAAGAAAAATGAAAACAATTTTCCTGCAAATGACTTTAAACTTAAAAACAAGAGGCCCATGGGCCTTATAGGTCACCTGAGCATTATGCAACAAACTTTCCAGTGATTGAATTTGATTCATGTTTTAAGCCAGATGCTTTGGCATTCACAATTTTGAAAGAGGCACCATTGATCATCATAACAATACACTTAACAGTTGCTTAGATTGTTTACTTAATGCCAATACCCAGGGGAGCAAAAAATGCATTTCAACTAATCAGTAATATTTAAGCAATGAATCATTAATTTTTGAGTGATATAGTTTCATAACTGCAACGGTGTGAGCAAACAAATTGAATAACGCGCTTGTGGTCAATTTGAACGTGATTTTTTGATTTTCGCTTGTGACGTTGCAATTCCTCGGCATTCAAGACAACGATTATGACGTCAATCTAAAACGCATGTTTTAACCTCTTGGCACCCTGTCTGTGTTATGGTGTTTTGAATGCAATAGATTTCTATTCATTTTAAATGCAAAAAATATACGTAATGTAAATATTCAGCAATAATCAGTAGTGCCCCTACCACACATGAACCCCTGACCCTTAGGCCTTGATATTTGATTAATATCAAGGAGCAGACTTCAAATCATTCATTCATTTTCAGTATATTAGTAGAGCCCCCACCCCCCTCTTCTATGGTACCCCTGACCCTGGGGCCTTGAAATTCACAATTCTGGAAGATAAGGGCCCTTGTCCATAATAACTATATAGGTAGTTCATCTGCTTAATACCCTAGAGCAGAGAAGAAGATTTTCAAAGACTTGTATTTTCACTTTATAATCAATAGAGCCCCGCCCTGACATCAGAACCCCAGACCCTGGGGCTATAAAATATACAATTTCTGAAGAGGCATTCCTGCTCATCATAACTATGTACTTAGTTAGTTTATTTAAATCCTAGGAGCAGAGAAGAAGATTTTCAAAAAATTCATGTATTTTCACTATATTATTAATAGACCCCCTCCCTGGCACCAGAACCCCTGACCCTGGGGCCATAAATTCACAATTTTGGTAGAGGCACTCTTGATCATCATAACTATGTACTTAGTTTGTTTATTTAATACCCAGGAGCAGAGAAGAAGATTTTCAAAGAAATAATGCATTTTCACTCTTTAATATATATAGGCCCGACCTAACACCAGAACCCCTGACCCTGGGGCCATAAAATTCACAATTTTGGTAGAGGCACTCCTGATCATCATACCTATGCACTTAGTTGGTTTATTTAATACCTAGGAGCAGAGAAAAATATTTTCAAAGAAATAATGCATTTTCACTATATGATCAATAGAGCCCCACCCTAACATCAGAAACCCTGACCCTGGGGCCATAAAATTCACAATTTTGGTAGAGGCACTCTAGCTCAACATAACTATGCACTTAGTTGGTATATTTGATACCCAGGAGCAGAAAAGAAGATTTTCAAAGAATTCATGTTTTTTTTTACTATATAATCAATAGAACCCCGTCCTAACACCAGAACCCCTGACCCTGGGGCCATAAAATTCACAATTTTGGTAGAGGCACTCTTGCTCATCATTACTATGTATTTAGTTGGTTTATTTAATACCCAGGAGCAGAGAAGAAGATTTTCAAAGAAATAATGCATTTTCACTACCTAATAATTTAGCCACGCCCTAGCACTAGAACCCCTGACCCCAGGACCATGAATTTCACAATTTTGGTAGAGGATTCATTGCTTATTACAATCATGCAAACAGTTTGACTGCTTGATGTCCAGGTGTAAAAAGAAGAAGATTTTTTAAGATTGCATTAATTTTAGTGGTTTTGGCCCCACCCCTCAAGCCCCAGGGGGCAGGGATCATGAAATTAACAATTTTTGTTCCCCTTCACCCGTAGATGCTTCGTGCCAAATTTGGTTGAAATTGGTTAAGTGGTTGCAGAGAAGAAGCTGAAAATGTTCAAATGTTAACGCACGACGCACAACGCACAACGACGGACCAAAACGGATAGCAATAGGTCACCTGAGTTTACTCATGTGACCTAACAATCTTGTGTCAGGTATCAATTAAACCTTGAGATAATTGTCTCTGTTTCATTGACCTTTATCTGATGATGCAATTTGTATCTGTTGCAAGGGAATTTAAAAGCAAAATTTACCTACCATTGCATCTATGTTCCTTCTGAACACACGGCAGAAATCTGTGGCTGTGGTAGCTGGATTTTTTCCTGAACAATTTGAGTCCATCAGCGAAAGATCTCTGTAAAGCAAAACACAAGAAATAAATCTAAAAATATTATTAAGACTAGTCATGAATTTTATATCTTCAAAGTTTAACTTTTAAAAGGAATAAGTTTGAATCTGTTTTACTATTTAAACCGTCATGGAAATATTATGCACTAATTTTGCCTCTGTTATCAAAAATTGTTGGGTTTATATTGTTTTTGTACTGTTATGTCCATCTTTCTGTCTTAATATGTTCCTTTAAACACATATTTATGAGTGGGTGGGGCTATGGCTTCATATTCCACAGGTGTATTTCATGTAACAAGAACTTTATCGGGGTACTATAAAATTTGACCTCTTGACCTTGATATTAGGGTTTGATCCACTTTTACAAAAAAAATCCCTAAACTTTAACCTAGGCTAATAATTTTGAACAGTTAGTGCTATCAATCTGATAATTCACATTATTTTGTAATCATTGTGACAATTAAGACCATTCAATAAGTTTTTTTTTACCTTAAAATTGGTCTTGATCTAAGAGTTTGACCCACTTTTAAAAAATATAATCTTGGCCATAACTTTTTAACAGTTAATACTAAAATTCTCATATTTCACAGGTTAAATTATTCCTTATGACAAAACCTTCCTTCAGATGCTAACAATTTGACCTTTTGAACTTGACCTTTAAGTTTGCCTTGCCTTTCAGTCCTCGCTTTAAGATGTCATATAGGCATATAATTATAAAGGCGTAAACATAGGATAAAATAATATATGTATATGCATAAGTTTATTTGCTGAGTACCTAGGAGCAGAAAAGATGACTGTCAAAGACTTACTGCATTTTTTTATATGTCTCCTATAACATCAGAACCTATTACTGGGTACCCAGGGGCAAAGTAATGTACAATTTTGGAAATGGACCTCTTTAATACTCATTATAAGTATATACTTTAAATGTACTTAGTTTGTTTGCATTCTATCAAGAAGCACTTTTATCATGCAAAATTTGGTTGATAATGGTTCAGTCAGTAAGGGATAATTTGTTACTGATGGGACACACAACAACTGATGAAAAGAGAAGCAATGGGTCTAAAAACAAATAACAATAAATTGACACTTGCATCCCTTAAGTGTCCATATTAATGACATTAAATTTCAATCCTTACCAATGCATAAGAGGCACCTTGAAGTTGGTCTTTTCCTCTGAATTGGTCATTCGGATGGTGATAACCAGAAATTGCCGAGAAGTGAGGTATACCCCTGCAGTCAAGCCATTATTGGCATTTACTCCACATTCTTCTCTTGTGTCACTAGCTGAAATGTATCATATTATTGAGAATCTCACAAATTTAAGAATTTTTTATAAGCTGGTATTTTTACAATTGTACTTTTTTTATAAAATGCATTTAAAGTTTCGATCAACAATGCATGAAATCAAAATGAAAAATTTTACGACAAATTTTGACCAAAAACAGGATATGTTTGTGAAACACTGATGACCCCGTATGACAACATAGCAAAGATTAAACTTTTCTTAAATGCAAATTTAATTAATAGGTACCAAAAGTAGGATATTCTCACTGGAAAGCAATTGTGAAATTTGAAAGCAGGCCATTATTAAAGTTTTTTTTTCAACAAGTACAAAAATCTCCAAGGTCAAGTCCTAAAGGCTAAGTTACTAATTGGTATCCAATGAAAGGTCTTGCCACATAGAATTACTTATGTAGAGTATGGAAGCCCTAGCCCTAACCTTTCAGAAGTTATGGCCACGGTTAATTTTCTTTTAAAAGTAGGTCAAACTCCATGTCCATGGTCAAGGTCAAAGTGTCAAAGTTCTTGTTATCAAATAAAAGGTCTTGTCACAAGAATTAAATATGTAAAATATGAAAGCACTAGAACTAACCCTTTGAAAGTTATGGTCAAGGCTTGTTTTTTAAAGTAAGTCAAACTCAAAGGTCAAAGTCAAAGGGTCAAAGTGTTTGGTATCCAATGAAGGGTCTTCTCACAAGGATTACATATGTGAAGTATGAAAACCATATCCCTTACCGTTCCAAAGTTATGGCCAAGGTTCAAGTTTTGCACAGGTACAGAAATATACAAGGTCAAGGTCAAAGGGTCAAGGTTGTTGGTATCCAGTGAAAGGTCTTTCAATAAAAAATACACATGTGAAGTATAAATGTCCTGGTGTCTACTGTTCAAAAGATATTGCCAAAGAAAAAGTGTAAAATTATCATGTAAAAGTGAGTCAAACTCCAAGGTCAAGAGATCAAATTTGGTAGTACCCAAAGAAAGGTCTTGTCACAAGGAATACACATGTGAAATATGAAAGTCATGGCTCCAATAAATCAAAAGTTATGGGCAAGGTTAAAGTTTTTGAGAACAAACAGACAGACAGACGGACACGACAAAAACTATAAACTGTACCCCAACACTTTGTTTACAGGGGCATAAAAAGGGCAAACCTAAGCTTCTGGCTTAGGTGAGAAAAATAAATTCAATAAATATTCCCAGCTTAGTCATAATTGGTCACGAGATTAAATTCCATTAAAGCCCGAAGGGTTTCTATGTAAAACTTTGATTGGCCATTTTGGACCCGCCCTTCCCCTGGGGGTCATGATTTGAATAAACTTGAATCTACACTACCTGAGGATGCTACTCTGTAAGATTCATCATCACAGTGGTTCTTGAGAAGAAGATTTTTAAATCATCTCATCAAATTTTCATTATTTCTGAATTATCTCCCCTTTGATATGGCATGGCCCTTCATTTGAACTAACTTGAATCCACTTCACCTAAGATACTTTGTGCCAAGTGTGGTTGAATTTGGCCCACTGGTTCTTGAGAAGAAGTCGAAAATGTGAAAAGTTAATGACAACAACAACGACGACAGACAGACAATGGACAAACTAGTTTGATCAGAAAAGCTCACTTGAGCCTTCGGCTCAGGAGAGCTAACAAAAAATATTATAAAATACTTACAAGTATTTTGACAAGTTGGGAAAATTTAGGAGTTAGGACTACTCTGGTACTTGAAATCTGATCCTTGTGATGACAAGTTACTGTGCCTATACAGAGAAACTAAAAAATGTCAGGTACTGTAGGTTCAATAACATTTAGTTCATTATCTTTTTGTCACTTTATTTAAATTAAAAACATGTATTCTATAAATTAACGAAGATTATATACATGTATTTACATTAAAGAAATGCAAGATAAGCAAATATAAGCTGAATGGTTAAGGTTTTGCTACATTTATACATGTAATACATGTGACAAAATTGTTATACACGTAATAACAAAATTGTTATTGATTGTTATTCACATAATAACAACAAGCAAATTCAAAGAATTGTGGTCCCCCGCTTTCGGTGTCTTTGTGGGTGAGATGTTATTTTTTATGACATATAGTGTGTAATATGAACATCCTATCATATGACATTTATTAAGAAAATAACATTGAAGTTGATTTTTTTAAAGGATGAAAACCCTAATCCTTACCGTTAAAAGGTTATGACCAAAGTAAAAAGATTTTTTAAAAGTAGGTCAACTCCAAGGTCAGGATCAAAAGGTCAAAATTGTTGATATCCCATGAAAGATTTTCTCACAAGGAATACACATGTGAAGTATGAAAACCCTAACCCTTACTGTTCAGAAGTTATGGTCAAGGTTAAAGTTTTTTCATAAGTATATAAATCTCCAAGGTCAATGTCAAAAGGTCAAGTTGTTGAAGTCCAATGAAATGTTTTGCCACAAGGAATACATATGTGGAATATGAAAGTCCTGGTTTCTACTGTTTAAAAGTTGTGACCAAGGTTAATTTTTTTAAAAAGTAGTTAAAACTCCAAGGTCAAGGTCAAAGGGTAAAAGTTTTTGGTATCCAATGAAAATATCTTCTCACAAGGATTACATATGTGAAGTATGAAAGCTTTAGTTCTCACAGTTCAAAAGTTATGGTCAAGGTTAAAGTTTTTTATAAGTACGTAAATCTCAAAGGTGAAGGTCAAAAAGTCAAGGTTGTTGTAATCCGATGAAAGGTCTTGCCACAAACAATACATATGTGAAATATAGAAGTCCTAATACCTACTATTCAAAAGTTATGACCAAAGTAAAAGTTTGGAATTTTTGTGTTAAAGTGGGTCAAACTCCAAGGTCAAGGTCAAAAGGTCAAATTTGGTGGTACTCAAGGTAAGGTCTTGTCACAAGGAATACACATGTAAAATTTGAAAGTCATAGCTCCTCTAAATCAAAAGTTATGGGCAAGGTTCAAGTTTTTGTGACGGACGGACAGACTGACGGACAGACGGACAGACGAATGAGATTTAATGTCCCCTCGCTTTCGCGAAAGTTTATGTTGCCGAAATTAAGTTTAAATCGCCAAAATGAGTAATCCGGGCTCGCTACCCATTTTAGTCACTTGGAAAAGGACAATCGGTGATAATCATTTAAAAACACAACATATTGACCTAAAACGTTCAGCGAAGGCCAATCCTAGAATAATAAACTATGTCCGTAAATTTCATGAAGAAAGAATGAGTATTTATTTCGAGATTATTAAAAACCCGGTTTTCGTTATCGGAAATCCCGGCCCGGCCCGGGTTTCGCTACCCATTTTAGTCACACTCCTCTACTTGCACTTCCTGTTACAGAAAAAAAATCCGAGTCAGCAAGAGCTCCTTTCTATGGTTTGTTCTAGACTTTCCTTTTGGCTGATTGTGATGTACTTCTTTGAAACAATGGTAAATATGTATGCTTTATTGATTTTTTGTCATATTTTGTGGTTATAGTGCACATTTTTATTGATAATTCAACTTGCAACGAAATCTTTCAGAGTAAATTCGGATTGCGTACTTATTTCAGGTTCTACGTAACGCAGTCAGGTGAATCGACTGGTCCATTTTATGCTTAGTGACATCTATATGAAGGTTTACTAAATTTTGAGTAAGTAATAAGGTTATTTTTATTTAAACTAATTGTCATTACAAGCTTCTACATATGTGTCAGAACAAACACAACACAAGACAGTGTTTTGGTTCTGACACATGTAAACACAACTTTTATAGACCAAGTGTATCCCATAAAATAATTTAGACATAGGTTAAACAAAAGGTTCAATCTTCTAAGGGATTAATTTGAGGTCCATGCAAAAAAAGTGTAACTATATGTTGCATTTGATTTATTCACACTGACACAGTTGAGGTATTCTAATTATTCTGTGCAGATTTTTTAAAAAAAAATCTTTTCAGTATTTAACTGTTGTCTGTACTCTGTAATATATTAAAAATTCATCAATTACATGTTTATTACCATCCAATTGGAACATCAGAATTAAAATGATTTTTTTTAATCTCATTTATGGTTCAATAGCAGCCCGATATATAGAGTCGCTTGGTCAATAACACACTGTATGGTGTCTGACACATCCCTTTAAAGTTTGATATGCAGTTATGAATCTGTTAAACACATGGTCTTTTCTGTTTCGCTCTAAACATATAGTACCATTTAACATACCAGTGCTCAGTAACTCAAGTTGCCAAAACATGGACTTTTCAATTAGTGATATCATTGAATTATTGTATTTAATGTCATCCTAATCTAGGAATTGGTCCCTTTGACCTAAACAATTGGAAAATTAGTATGGGTAATAGTATTTTATAATAATTAATATAATAATTAAATAATTGATTAATTAATTAATAAATAATCTTTGTAGGAAACACTTGTCAGGACACAAGACTGAAAGAAAGACGTACTGAAAAACTGCCTGTAAACACAACAATCATTTAAGACAATGGATTACCCAGGATTACCCACATCCAAGCAATATGATATCAGAGACTGGCAATTTTTATCACTTGATGTGGCAGAAAAGCCTAAATAAATATTGAAATTTTCAATTTCTTTGTTCTTTGCTTTTCTCTTGTGAATATGAATATCGCATAATATTTATGCGAATTTCGCACGATTTTCACATGAAAAACTGATAATTTGGAATTCGCATGAATATCATGCGAAATTTCAGTCACATGAAAATCGCATGAATTTCGCATAAATATTATATGAGGACATTCGCATGAAATTCGCATATGGAACTTCTCGCATGGTTTTTATATGATTTTCGCACGAAATTCATGCGAAAAGGCAATCGCATGAAAATCATGCGAGCCACTTTTCCCTGTGTAAGCAGGCCAATTGATTGAAATTGTGAATTAATAATTTAAACACGCATCTGAAAAAAAAAATTAGATAAGACTTTTTATCTCAATAATACGGCGTAGTTATTGAAAATTCTCATAATAAATAAATAAAGACTAATAAATAAATACAAAGGTAACTGCATATGGTACTGCATTCTGTAATATTGCCAAAGAATTGCCTTATCATACCACCCTTTATATTTTAGATTAACAAGCACTTGTAGTGTTTAAAATGTACAGGTAAATGGCATCTTAAAGAAACTTTTACAAAGCACATAGACTCAGCAGAGACATATAATATGTCTCTGGGCACAGATAGCTTAAGTTAAACACACAATAAACACCCATATCACATGGATGAATAATTTCGATACTTTAAATAGTCAAGTGGATTGTTTGAAGATAACTTTTTTTCAAATTTCAGAATTACAAAATCAAGGTAAAACCAGTGGCAGTAAGCATTTTTGCAGGAAAAATCTCTTTCACGACAAGTTTACTTTGCACACATATTATTTTATATGCTTTACATTTTTGTGTCAGATAAAGCTGAGTTAACATTAATGCTTCTAAATGGGAACTTATTTGTAAATTAGAATAGATACAAAGATGTAAATTTAACATGTTGATGAATAGATTAATCATAAGAGGATCGAGTTACGTTTTTCCATAGATGTTTAAAACAAATGGCTTAAAAACCGGAAAATCCTATAAGTTTCAAAATATGTCTGCACACTCTACAAACTTAATTTATTCATGTGGGTTATTTTCCCATCGTTTCGTTTGCCTACGAAATTTCAACAAAGAGGAATTCAAAATGCAGTATTTCTTTTTAAAGACATGAAAACTTAAAACCATGAAACGTGATTTTCCGTAAGAGAGAAAAAGAAAATGCTGGCTAACTTTTTTTCACCTTTACACTGTCCTAATAACTTAAGGCCATTCATCTTATAGAGCATAATGTTCAGGTTTTTCTGCTGTGTATAGTTTCAGCATTCCTTCAATTTAAATGCCAGAAGTGACGCATAGTTTCTTTTGGGAATAAATACGTCTTAATTTTTAACATGTTTTCTGGAATTGCTTTCAGACATTTAAATTCATCTTAAATCAACAAGTTACCAAATTATGTGAGTCTGATCGATGATTTATGAGTTATATTAATATGACAGTAACCCAAATTTAAAAAAATATATTATTTTGTTGATAAATGTAAGTAGACCAAAAATGTATTTTTTTTTTATTTGCTAGATGATTATTAAGTTCAATATTGTACGCTCCTGTTGAATGTTGTTTACAAATTTGAGATAAAAATAAAAGTGGCATGACCTTGACACGCACGGTACTTAAATTGCCCTGTTTTAACTACTTGCAGCTATATTCTCATATCTTAGCTATATACTCATAATTTTCATACGTCTTTCTCTGTATGCTACAGACCCAGGGAGCACAACAACGTTATTAAAACGTTATAAAGACGTTTTAAAAATGGTATAAAAACATTTTTTAAAACGTTATAGTTATTACAACGTTATTTTGTATGTTTTTTTAAACGTTATCATAACGTTTTTCAAAAACATAGTCCATCAATGATTTGATAACATTTTTGAAAACGTTTTCAAAATATTTCTAAAAACGTAAAATCATTGTACTTCCTACAGTGTTAATTAGTTTAAACTTTTTTAAACAAATGTAATCCATGAACTGTTCTTAGCATCCGTACATGTACAGTCAATAAAAGTCCTCTTAACAGAGAAGATTTGTCACAATTGAAATTAGAAAAAAAAATCACAATATCCTTCTTCCTTAGAAAAACATGTTTGGCACTTGGATCGACTTTTTTTGAATGAAATGCTGACAGACGT